TCGATGCTTAATAATATCAATTTATCGCTGTAGAATTTTATTGAAACTATCAATTTTTTTTATCAAGCGCAATGCTACGAATCTCAATGATCATTAATATTCTCTAAACCCAGGTTCTCTTAACACTCTAACGATAATTATCCGTTAAAAAGTTTTACAATGTGGAGGTAGCCGATTAAATGTACACCGCGATATTAAAGTAAGATTATAAATCTTGAAAATCGACGGGTTTTAACGTAATGCCTCAATTACACGGACAGTTGAAAAGTGCGAATGGCTATATATCTTTACCATATTTATTTCACACGAGCATCGAGTAGCTGATTTAATTGCCCATACGATAAGCTTATGGAGTTGAGGCTCTTAAAGCGATTTAATTAAGCGATCGCCCATATAAAAGTTACATGCGCCATTAGAGCGCCATATCAATGTGATGCCGCAATCACGTGTAAGAAAATAATATTATGCCAGCTAGTTATGCGCGGAGTCATAAAAGCACTCACTGTCACATCCTGAACACGTGTATGGCCATGGAAAACATAGGTCGATGGTACGCATTTTTTTAATGAGATCACCTTCTATTTTTACATCCAATAGTTCATTCGAAATCTTAAATGGATGCCAACAAATGTGTGTGTGTTGCCCTTCTATGATATGATAAAGCTGTTTATCAATTATCTTTAAGCGTGGCTGATGCTCTTATGACGGATGACTATATAATTAATTGAAAACATTTACCTTGTTTAAAATTGATTAATTATACGTACACTATTCTCGCGGCAACTTTTTCGGAGAATAACTTAGTTGGAGAAACTTTAATAAATTCAATTACGTATTAATGTTAATACGAAGTGATTTCATCTATTTGTCCGTCCGCTTGAAATTGACGAAACTTTTATTAATTTAAGAGGAGGTAATTTTCATTGGCGATTACAAATTAAAGGCGCTCGATATATTTTATTTATCGATAATGCACCTATACATTCTGTCAAGATGATTATATTTTTGAAATTAACATGATCGATCGCCGTTTGACATTAAGCTAATTTTCAATAACAATTTTCTTTCCGACAAGATGATTAAGAAACAATTATTTAAACGTGAAATATTAATTGAGACGCTCATTTAGATGTTGGCCCAATACACTTATCAAACAAATACATTACTATACTTATCAGATAGAGTTCTTCAAATTTTCTCGCGATTAATTTAAAATTAAATGTATATTAGCGTTAAGTCAATTGTTCAGGATGTAATCAATTCATCATTATAAATGCGATTGTTAATAAATTCTACAGATTTTAAGATTAAAAAAAAACAAACAAACAAACAAACAAACAAACAAAAGCCTTACATTTTGCATTTTGCATTACCAGTGATAATAGCGTTTGCAATTAATATGATCTTTCATCGTCGATTAGCTTGCGAGCGGACGATAAAGCTTTTGCTGAAATAATGTAATTCGTAAAATTCGCATTGAGAACATAACGAATAATAAAATTAGAATGCTGAGAAAGTTAGCTTCTTAATCCATCAATCATCGCTAAGCTTTTACGTTTATACAACGATGAGCCTCTTAATATCGTGTTTTACGAGGCGAAAGTACGAACGAATTTTCAACCAAACTTCATCCGTTTACAGCGAAGACCTATAAAGTGTAAAACATCATTTTTAAGTGAAGCACAAGTAGAAAGAGCTTAGTATTCCATGTCACCAATTCACCAATTCACCAATTCACCAATTATTACATGTATTTATTATCCTACGAATGCATGATGTTTCGTTCATGATCCACGGTATAAAAATACAGTTAAAAATTGTTCATAAATATAAATGTTCAATTCATCGTTATTTAATCTAGTATACATTTGAAATAATACGATTATAATAATAATCAGGAAATTTCAGCTACCCGTTAAAAAGCATTTATTTATTGACTTAATTATCGACGATCCATTTTTCTTGCATTATATATGCAACGACCTGACAATGAAAAACAAATGCTTTTGTACGTTGATAATGACCGAATCTATCATTATGATATTCAATAATATCTAAGAAATTCTAATAAAAATTAATGATAGTTTGCACATTATCGTTTGGCCAAGCGTATACATTTTAACAACGCATAATTTCATAAGTCATGCGCTTGCAATAGAGTTTATTATGGTATATGTAGTGTTTGTGCTCAGGTGCTCTCATAATTTAAAGACAAAAATGAAGTGTTAGTATTTTACTTATTTCCTGTTACGAGCTTAACTGTTTTTATATATCGCTGGCCACGTGCCATTCAAAACGTAACAATAACGTATAACTATAACGAGTGATTTTGCAAATATTAATGAATTCATTCGCTATATTATCCGAAACAGCCAAATACAAATTCATAAAATATAAATGCTACTACAATTATTCCTTTTGCCGCTGGACGAACAATTTTAACGAAAACTCGGTATTTACATTTGTATCACATTTGTAATAATACAATGTTTATAATTATATTGTCATTGATTAAATTATTGCATACCATAAGCCAATGATTGTTTAGTAGAATTTTAAGAGATATTCTAATAGGCTGCGGGTATCGTTAATATAATAATAATAAATCTAATAACTATGAGTATTATTTAATTATTGATATGCGTTAGAGATTTTTAAATTTGAAATCGCCAATGATACATTGATAATTAAATGTAAATTATGAATTATTTCAATTATTAAAATTAAGATTATCTAAATATTAACAATTAATACATATGAAAAACATAGTAGTAAATGAAAATAAAAGATAATAAAGTAGCACACATTGCGCATCTCTATTTATCCAGTTTGAATTTTAAATCACAGGAGAAAGTGTAAGGTTAACATTAATTGTTAATTTAGTAAAGTTTAGTATCTTATTGCTACTATCTCGCGCAATTTTATATATAATATGCATAAATGAGTTTATAAACGATTAACTATTATCGGGCAATTGTTTTCTTTCACAAATTAAATCATACTTTTCTTTTCATCTGATACATTATTATTAAAGAAGAAAAACAAAGATGATGAAAATTATGAATCAAACAATATATTATTGAAAAGTATAACCGAGTAAAAAAAAAAAAAAAAAGAAAAAAAAAAAAGAACAGGATAACAACGATATGAAACATATTTATATTATTAAAATAAATATTTTACAAATGATACGGGATGCGCGCATGCTGTATTTAATAATATATATATATATATATATATATATATATTAACGACAATTGCAGCTTATTCTTCCTTAATGCATAATTAAGATTAAATAATTGTTTCATTATTATTTTCATAATTATTATATTCCATTGCCAACTTAATATTTTAAGACACACGCATAATAATGTTAATGCACACACGATTAATATGCAGTTGAACATAATTTTTAATCGTTTAACTAATTGTTGCTTGCTGAGCAATAGAGCACACATATATGTAAAATAATAGCTGAATAACAGTTTAAGAAATACTTTGGATTCACGCCTTTAGATAAATGTCTCAACATTACTTCGCGACCATACGGATTAACGATACAGATCTCTATCATAAATACATTATATTTGTACGCAATAGATCTAAAATATGTGCAAGTCATATGAAAAAATTCGATCGAATTTACTAATAAAATAGTCAAACGATAGAGCTATCCAAGTGGTTAGATAACACATAAACGGCCTTTGTAATTTACATTATACAAATATTACGTTAAATTCTGTCTCAGGTTGATATCTTAATCGTTATGTAATGACGATAAGTTAGGGTCGATCGCCGAGAAAGATTAATATTTTACATTCTTGAGTAAAGTTAAAAAGTCAGAGGGGTCGAGCCTCGTAAAGATTTCCAAGTAACAAATTTTTGATATCAGTGCCTAAAAACACGTACACGCGCGCATACGCGTGATGTCATGCGCTACGTGCATGACGCGAAATCTAAGAAATTGATTCGAGGCATTACATCTTGGCCAATTAAAGAAGGAAAAAAAAAAGGAAAAAAAAGCTTATCCATTATCATTGCCACTGATAATGTTTATCTGCTATTGAAGCACGTGAATAATGAACTTTAGAACTATTAAGATTAATTGGCCACGTAGGGAAATGACTTTAGAGAAATCGAAAGTTACACTGCACGAATCACTGTTTTGTTTTCTTTTTTTCTTCTTTTTTTTTCTCTTTCTTTTTTTATTTTGATGATATTGATTGGCATGTATTAGCGAACGAATTTTTTGCATTCTTCGGATGAAATATCCTTACTGTCATTTTCAATTTCAAAATTCATCTAACCGAAGATAACAGACATTTGATTGACTTTAAAAAATAATTTAACGACTATTAAATTAAAAATTCTTTTCGTTTTATCTCTTTTCTCTTTTTACTTAGAAAAATCAATAATAATAATTTGTCGGGAAATGTTTTTCGTCGTCGAAGAACTTTATACTCGATATTTTAAGAGATTCGTGCGACATGATATAGCCTGTTTATCAAAAGACTGAATGCAACTTTATTCTTATCCTCGAGAGCCGATAAAATCGATCAATTTCCCACTTTTTTTTTCTTCTTGTCATTCATTTTAATCGACTATCAATGTGTTAAACAAATCAATTTATAATTAATTAATTGTTTTTCTTTTATTTAATATAACGTCGGCATTCGTAATATTGTGCCAATCACTGCCGTACTAATCTGAAATATTTTTCTCGCTCCTCCTCTTCTGTGTATTCTTGTACTGTCCAATCATTAAGCATTACACGGTTCGTCAACTTTTCAATTTTCTTCTCGTTAATACTAATATTCTGACACATAATTTTTAAGGGTGTTATTGCATTTAACAGTGTGATTGTCGTAGATTTGTCGCGCAAACAATTTTCGGCACATTTCAATAATCCAAGTCCATTGATACGAGCATGTTGCACGAGAAATTATAATAAATAATATCCTGAAATGCGTAGCTTCGATTATATAGAATAAACGAAAAAAAAAAAAAAAAAAAAAAAAAAAAAAAAAAAAATCAACGTCCTATTCTTCGCCTCTGGTAGGCGCGAAGTAAGGAACGAGGGCACACTGTAACGTCGTCCTTGGAATTAACGATAAATTAACGAATTTACAGGGAGATGGATAATTTCTGGATCACCGGTGCCGTACGGGCCATCAAGGCACTGTCGTACGTCTACGACCTATTTACTTTCCCGGTCTACCTGATTCTCCAGAGGCCTTGGGAGAAGCGAAAGGCCTCGCGTCGAATCAAGGCGAAGCCAGTGGCCAAAGACGAGCACTCGATTGTCTATAGAAACGTCGACCCTATCGGCCCCATGCACACCCTCATGGTGAGACAACAAATCGACACGCTCGAGGCGATGCTCAAGTGGGTGGCCGGCGTGCATGGGAGTAAAAGGTGCCTCGGCACTAGACAAATACTTGCCGAGGAGGACGAGCTCCAGCCGAACGGCCGAATCTTTAAGAAGGTAGATAGGGCACCAAGGAGACGATAGTAACGAACGCTTTAAATCCCCCCCCCTCTCTCTCTCTCTCTCTCTCCCCAATCCCTCTATCTTCATCCCAATCCACTTCTCGAAGGAGCCTCATCTATCGTGGGCCCGGGTAGAGCGCGCAAGTTTATGATAAGATAGGTCTTGTGCCCTTAATCGGTAACGATTATTCCCAATTGCGGCCAATTGCGCCCAACTCGCTCCCACAATGCTTTTGCCAAATTAACAATTAATAATCTTCTTTCGCCCTTCTCCTAGTATAAAATGGGCGAATACGAGTGGAAGAGCTTCGTGGAGGTCGAAAGCCTGGCGGCGTCCTTCAGCCGCGGCCTGAACGAATTGGGCCTGACGGCGCGCAAAAACATCGTCGTCTTCGCCGAGACGAGAGAGGAGTGGATGATCGCGGCACACGCCTGCTTCAAGCAGAATCTCACGATCGTTACGATCTACTCGACTCTCGGCGACGACGCCATTGCCCACGGGATCAACGAGACGAAAGTCGACACGGTCATTACGAGCCACGAGCTGCTGCCGAAATTCAAGAGACTCCTACAAAAAGTACCTGAAGTTAAGAATATTATTTATATGGAGGATCAGCTGAAGAAGGCGGACACCAAGGGCTACAAAGTACGTACTTCACTACATCATTACAAGGCAATGTCGCGAGCTCGTACGAGAGCTCAGCGAGACGAGGTTGCTCGAGTGCCTTTATGAACCGTAAATTATTATGCACGTTTAAGGAAGGTGTCCGGCTACTCCCCTTCCAACACATTATCAAAGTTGGGAGCGCATCGAGTGCTGCGTCGGTATCGCCAAGTAGCGAAGATACCGCTATCATAATGTACACATCAGGTTCGACCGGCGTACCCAAGGGCGTTCTCCTCTCCCATAAAAATGTCATTGCCACGTTGAAGGCGTACTGCAACGCCGTTGTTATAAAGAGCGACGACGTTTTCATGGGATACCTGCCTCTGGCTCATGTTTTCGAGCTCTTGTCCGAGAGCGTTTGTCTACTGAACGGCGTGCCGATTGGCTACAGCTCGCCCTTGACGATGATCGATTCGAGCAGCAAGATCCAGAAGGGCTGCAAGGGTGACGCCAGTGTTTTGCATCCAACGTGCTTGACGTCGGTGCCGGTATGTTGCGCACTCACACACGCCACGCTCTCTCTTTCTCTCTCTCTCTCTCTCTCTCTCTCTCTCTCTCTCTCTCTCTCTGTCTCGTTGTCTTCGCGGATTCCACGCTTACGTTTGCCTATTCGCAGCTTATTTTGGACCGGATATCGAAAGGCATCAACGAGAAGGTCAAAAGGTCGGGACAATTTCGCCAGGCGATCTTCAATTTCGCTTACGAGTATAAATTAAAGTGGACAAAGCGAGGCTACGATACGCCGATATTTGACAGGCTGATTTTCGGAGCGGCGAAGCAAGTTTTGGGCGGCCGCGTGAGATTGATTCTTTCGGGCGGCGCTCCCCTCAGCCCAGAAACGCACATGCAAGTGAAACTCTGCCTATGCGTGACCGTGACCCAAGGTTATGGCTTAACCGAAACATGTTCCTGCGCAACCGTGATGGACCGTAAGACATCGTCTTCTCTATTTACCAGCGCTCGCCAATTTGTAAACTCGTTGCACTATAATAATCATAACAATGACAAGTAGTTCTCGAGGATTTATTTTTTTCTCTCTCTTTCTTTTCTTGTTATAACAAACGAGGAACGTCGCTGCCTCTTCTACTAATAATAATTCGTTGTTGTTGTCTTTATTCTTTTTTTTTTTTTTCTTCTTTGTTCTCGTCTCTTTCCTCCCCTCTGCGACTCATTCCGTCACTCCTCACACGATTATAGCCTATGATAGGAGTACGGGACGAGTGGGTGCTCCTACAACCGTCTGCGATATATCGTTAGAAAATTGGGAAGAAGCCGGTTATAAAGTAACGGATATTCCTAATCCTAGAGGCGAGATAGTTATCGGCGGAGACAACATATCAGCCGGATATTACAACCTTTTCGATAAGACCAAAGAAGACTTCTTCTTTAAAGATGGAAAACAGTGGTTCAGAACGGGAGATATTGGTGAGGTTCATCCCGATGGAGCTATTAAGATTACCGGTGAGTTAATGTGCGTGGCTCGTTGCATGTCAAAATGAAAAAATAAGGAAACGAAGGAAAAGGAAGAAAAAAAACTTTGGTTATTTTTCAATTTTTGCTTTCGACGATCCCGATTTTCTAGCCCATCAAACGCACGACGGCTTATATCTTTATCTTCTCTCCTCTTTACAGATAGGAAGAAAGATTTGGTGAAGCTTCAGTTTGGCGAATACGTTTCGCTGGGTAAAGTGGAATCCGAATTGAAAACGTGTCCTTTGGTTGACAATATTTGCGTCTATGGAGATGCCAATAAAAATTATACGGTAGCTTTACTTGTACCAAATCGCCATTATCTCGAGGAAACTGCTTCTAATTATGGGATAACATTTACGTCATTCGAAGAATTGTGTAACAGCCCGACATTGGAGAAGGCTGTGTTGGAAGCACTAGTCGATCATTCGAAAAAGTGTATGTTTAAGCTTAAGACTCTCATTCGTACGTCAAACGATCGCGTTATCCAAAAATTCTTAATTACCGATTAATTAACCAATGCACTTATTAACTAATCGTTAATGCATATCGGCCCAACACTCTAAATAATGATTGTAAATTAAACGTTGACGTTAATATAGTAATAATAATCGTAAAGTCGTGACGTGACTGTGAAATCGATTGAAGACAAGACACGTAACGTATTTGGGCCAATAACACGGTCAGCGCATTCACGAGCTAGGAAGCGGAAATCGTCGAGCGACGCAATTAATATTTCTATTAAAATTTTCAGGTAACCTGCAGAAGTTTGAGATACCAGGGGCTGTGAAATTAGTTCCAGAAGCGTGGTCACCCGATATGGGACTCGTCACCGCAGCATTTAAGCTCAAGAGAAAAGCAGTACAGGAGCGTTATAAGCACGAAATAAGCCGTATGTATGCGTCGTGATGATAATGGCTTAAGGTTACGAATAAAACTAGAGGCGAACTGAGTGGGCATTCAGTTAAAATTTGCATCGAAAGAGCTGATTTTGTGAAAAATGACATCTTAAAAATGCGTATTAAAAATTGTATTACAAGTGTTTACGCACAAACGGAGAGAAGTCTTTTTTGTCTATCTTTTTTTGTTTTTTTTTTTTTTTTTTTTGTTTTTATATATGCAATCGAGTTATTCCGACCTGTACAATTACGACTACGAGACGAGAGATGTGAAAAGAAATAGAATTAATATGCAGCTTCCTCAAATCCAAGGCCGATCTTTCTAAAAAGTATTGTGCTCTGATAAGATAAACGTAAATTTTTCATATTAAGAAACGAACAGGGAGGGGGGGGGGGGGGGGGGGGGGGGGGGGAGAGAAATGCCTATATATATATATATATATATCTTGTATTATGTTGAAGTAACGAGGCAGTTATTTTGAATGGAGCTTTAGATATAATAACGCATGGATATAGTGCATCGAAGAGCAGATTACAGATTACTTAATTTGTATTATAAATAGATGTATGTATTAGGGCCAGCTATTGCATATTATATGTATTATAAGCCATTGTAATTTGATAAATTTTATGAATTTTTGAACTAAAAAGCGCTCATAATTTTTAACTTAATTTATATGTTCAGATTTTTAAATGTCTGAAACTGATGGTAATCATGCGAAATAATATATGACATGATGTCGGTTTAATGAACAAAAGAATTATCTTGTTGATGGAGGAAGTCTGTCTGTAACGTATAACCGAATATGAACAAATATTTTCATTGTTAAACTATGATGTATAGGATAAAATGACTCGGTCATTTTAGTTTTTAGTTTTTTAAATTTTAAATAATCTACGGTGTAGTAATTAATTAAAAGAAAGATCACGCACATATACATGTATATTGTTATATTAAGAAAATCTCTTGCGAAGTATGACTGTGTAGCTGTAAATTATATAATGCTTTAATTTTAGAGAAACGTTGAATTTTTTAATTATAACTAAATATTTTGAATATGATGTTATAGATTTATAAAAAGGGCCTATAATTGTGAATTGCAACCATTGTTTATGTGAAATGCCTGAAATAAACTTTGTGAAAAAAAAGTTTTGTAGTTGTTGGGTGGGGTGGGGGGTGGGGGGGGGTGGGTGGGGGTTTTCCTATTTTTCCTTTTTTCTTCTCTTAGTTTCTTTCAAAACTATTTATTTTTAATACAAATCGTTAAAATATTTAATAAAAAAAATTGTTCTAATACGAGCGTTGAATTTGATCTATTTTAATGCGAAAATGAAAAATTATTGCGTATTATTGCGGATTGTCGATGATGGAACGTCTTATTTTATTATTGAAACTTCACTATAATATTAAATCGAATTAAATTGCAAATACTTGCAGTTTCTTTATTGAAACACGGCTCATTTGCCTTCTTTTTCATCTTTATTTTGTAACTGCAATATGGACAGTTTTATTATTTGCAATACAGGTTGTTAGATGATACAGAACGGATAATATCGTTCTTGGCGATCATGTTACTTTCAGCTCGCGAGTATGATTTTTGTGAAGGTAGAAGAACGGTTTTGAAAAACTATTGATAAATAAATGGTGGGAGAAACCCTTTCGGCACTTTATTGTGATCTCAACGATTTTCGAGAGTATTTAGATATAATCCGTTCAACTTTATAGTATTTTTTATTTTATCCGACTAGCTAACGCGAGCTACGAAAATTAATTGATATTTACATACGACTCGACATTAAATTGAAAGCGATATAAATGAGCCAATTTACAATTTTAAGGTGTAATATAAACAAATTGAATTTGTTAATACATTAATGATGTAGTTTATAAATATTAACTAATAATACATAATATATATCTCGTAATTAATATTTCAAGAAATACTATAATGTTCAAATGGAATTATAAATATGGTATTCATTATAATATAGGCATTTTTATATTTATGAACTTTTAAAAATAGTCTATTTAAATCACTATGAAAGTTTTATCGGCAAGGAATCCATTCGTCAAACACTTCACCGAATGTTTTTCGTTCTGAAAAATATGAATATCGAAGGATATTTTTAATAATACAGCAACTTAATAATAATTAAAATATCATATTCTCTTACCGGGGCGTTGGAAATCTTCTGGATGAAGCTTGATGTACTGACGCAAAATTGAATCTCTTTTTGATTCAGAGTGTGTTTTGTATCTTTTTGTTATATTTGCCGCAGCTATTCCAATTATTAATGCTACTCCGTATCTATGTATACCTAGAAAAGTAATATCGGCATGTATATAAACGGTGCAATACTTGTAGTTGTTATTAACAAATCTAGCTATAAATAAGATTATTATAAAATATTATGATGCTGGCATGATGTAGGCGTACTTAATTTAAATGGGCATAATGTACGTTAATTGAAAAGATTGGTCGACATTGCTCTGAAATTATTGCTGAAGCGCGTGCTTTCTAATATATATATATATATATATATATATATATATATATATATATATATATATATATATAATATATCTTTATATAATATTGGCTTTACCTTTTAACATTATATATTCAATACGATAAAGAAGGAAAACCTTTTTCTATGGAAATATGGATAGGGGAAAATTACTTTGAACATTAAAATATTCCTTGTGCATAAAATTCACTTATCGAATAAACTTTAATAATTGTCAAGATATCAAGTAATTTTTTTCATAGAAAAATTGGATGGATTAAAAGCTAATGTAAATTCTATCAAGTTTATTCGATTTTTTGTTCTGTATTCTATATAATTTAATTATTACAATACATAAGACAATACAATACACAATATTACAATACATAAGAGAATGGAGTAGCTTTGAAAAAGTAAAGTCTCTCTGTGTGTGTGTGTGCGTGTGTGTCTGTCTGTACATTGCAAAAATATATGCATATATATAACTTCTTTTGAAAAATACCATTTTAATTCTTTATTTAGATCTTTATTTTTTTATATAAAAATTTGATAAAGAATAAACGAAAACCTTCAATCATACATAGTTTGATTATCAATGATTTGGATCTGAAATTCTTGATCTGAATTTTTAATAAATTAAAAAATTTTACTAATGTAAAATTGCAAATGCTTATCAACTAAGTAATTCGCGGTACAATATAAAAAGCCAATACGTATATACGTGTATGTGTATATAAACAATCAATATAAGAAAAAATATCGTTTACTATATTAAATGAAGCGTATAACAATTAAAAGATATTACTTTATAAACTGTTGATTAAAAGTTTAAGTAATTTATTTTTTCGATTAGTAGTATATCGAGAGCAAGGATCATTAAAATGACACTCACTGATGAGTGTAATAAAAACAAAAGCTACGAGGAAGAATTATCGACAGGACAGTTAATCGAATAGCGAATAGCTTTGAAATAGCGTGCAACTGAAAAACTTTCGATGGTCTTAGCGAGTATATTTGAGCATAAAAAATTGCTTATTATCAATAGAATACATTCAATGGTTCATTGCATAACATGTTCTTCTTTTTTTTTCTTTTTTTCTTTTACGAAACTACACGAAATAAATATTTCAAACGTATGATAAAACAGAGAGCGAGTGGTGAATATTAAGGGCTTATAAACTATTGGTCTTAAGTTCTTTCAATCAAAGGATAATAATGCATTACTTACTTGCAAAATAAGGTCTGTTTTGAAGCCAATTCATATATACTGTACCACCAAGACATGCTGGGATCAAAGTTATGTAATGGTAATATTTGGAGATCAGATTTTCTTTATACGTCTCGTCGGGTGTTAGTAGATCGATAGCCCATTTAATGGATTCATCAGTTTCCATTTTTCTTTCAAAACTAAATTGAGATTTGTAATTATTGTTACTTGCTGTTAAATGTTTGATAAACACAAAATTGACAGTGCATAGAGAAACGCGAGTGGTGGAGAACTTTGTGCTACGATAAACGCTGTTGGCGTGATTGCCCGCAGATGGCGCTGCGTCAATTTCACTCTATTTTATAAATTTGTTGAATTGAATGAAAGTTAAGTCGGGTTTAAATAATAAGGATTTAAGGTAATGTAAGGTAATAAGGAAATAATATCAGCAGTAGAAAATATTTACAATAGATGCATTCAAAATTTTATTCTTGATAATTTGTTGTTTTTTAAGATTTTTTTTCAATGATTTATGAGCAACGGCATTGAGCATAGAATTTTATATCTTCGCAGCTACAATATTATTCGTTCAATATTATTGTTTTAATTGTTGAACTACATAATATAAGAGTGGTCGTTATATATAGTGACGTATCCACTCTACAATTCAGTTAAATTTTATAATACAATTATTTCATTATAATATTTATTAATAAAAAAAAACATTGTGAAAGCAAGCATTATCGTTCGAAATGACAATATATACGTTTATTCACTATAAATCACCGCTTTACACTGCACTAAATTTCACTCTATCATTGAGTAATTAACAATATACCTTAAACATATAATACGTAGCTGTGTCATTCGTTAAAAATACGTACTACATATAATAGATATTTTTGTTCTTTTTTATAAAGTTAAGAAAATATATAGATGTAAATTTAATAAATAAATCAATTTTGTTTTTAATTTCGATTTCTATAATACAGAATAATAATTGGTGAAATGTTATTTATACATTATTAAAAGGCATTAAAAAGGAAAATTCTATAGTTAATGATGAATACTGAGTGCATCGCTTTGCACTTCGTGACTCAATTGTGTTTGTAAATTTGATAATTTATTTTTTAATGCAGCTATTCCCATCATGACAATGTTTTCGGGTTTTAAGGCTCCGCTGCTCTCCACATTGAAGAAATATTTATTTGGCTTCGCTTCCCAGTTAAAAGGAGCTTCGTCTAAAGATAAATCATACAATAGTCGAAGGTATTTTATTTATAAATCGTATTGATTTATAATTTTGCAGCTGTTTAACGATACTCACATTGGTCCTCCTCCAATTCAGAATATTCCGACTTTGGCCACTCGTCAGGTTTTGGAAACAGCGTATGTCGCATGGAATTGTCCGGATCGTATTCAAAACTAACGCCAGCAGTGGGATTCCATTTTGCGTGTTCTTTGCCAAAACCTTTTTTCGCGTAAGCTCTAAGTTTCAATTCTTGACCCTTGCGTAACTTAACAATTAATATTTCTAAAATTAAGTTTAAGCATTTTCATCGAGACGCCGTAAAACATTATAAGGAAGAAAATTTATGTTAATTCGACGAACCATCGGTTTCTCCATATTCGCTTGCATCGTCTTCGCGATGTCTCGACGTCACGGGAACTACTCTGTGCTCGCTCGACTTTAAATCAGCTGTTGTTACGTGCCTCGTTTTTTCATCGGCACACTTTACGTCCAAAGTAAATTCTACGCAACATTCTGGACAAAAATCCATACATTGACAGTCTCTCGTATACTGAATCCTATCAACGACCTGGTAAAAAAGTCAATTATTTACTAAAGTATATCGAATATAATAACGGAGTTAACACATGAAAGTTCAACTGATTGCATCTTACTTCGTCACTTATCAATGGAATCATCCCAATTCTATGAGCTAGGAATTCGTCACTAAGTACCGTTGAATTAGCTTCTATTTGCACCCAATCAATTGCCATCGTTGGTGTTTCGGCAATAAAGACTCGCCTCATACTATTTGCAACACTATTCAAACGTCAAGTATTAATAATTAAAACATTCGATTAAACATAACTTTAATAGATATAGTTTACGCTGAACGTTAGTAGGTTATTTACCTGAGTTCAGTGTCCTCGACTTGAAATTTTATATTTTCCTCCGTAAGCTCCGAAATGTGTACCGTTGGTTGATTGGCGTAAGGCATCGTAGCATTTAAAATCTAATAAGCTTTAGTTAAAATAAAAAAGACGATTTATTATTGCTTTTAAAATAAATCACAATCAAGCCGACACAGAGTCACAAGTATTGTTTTCATAGTTTGGCCAGTCTACGGTAAAATAGTTGAAAAACAAATCGATGCCGATCGTCGCGAACCTATCGCATTTTTCTCGGAAGCTTGCTTGTGCGCGCATATGCCGGGTCTTCGTACGCACCCACACGCGCACGCAAACGCGAGTATGTAAATTCGCTAGCAAATAATACCATTAACTACTATTAACAATAACTAAATCATTAAAGATATTCAAATAATTATCGTCGTTATATATATATATATATATATATATATATAATACGCACACACACGCGGGCGAATTTATGTAAATGCAAAATTACTAAGCAAATAAAACAAAAAAAAAACAAAAATCAAATAGTCGTCTATTTAATGTCATCAATTATATTTATCAGTTTAAATCTAATCTAATTAAAATGGATATCAACGATGAATTGGCCCATGCGTGTATTTAACGCACATATATGCAAATTTTTATTATTATTTGGCTAACAAATAATTACAATTTACAATAATTAGAAAATCTTAAATTAAAATTAAAAATCTTTCTCATAACGATTTCATAAATATTGAAAATTATTTTTCTACTTTTACTTATTTGTACCAGCAATTTAATAAAAATTATCTATTTCATAAAAGAAACGACGAGAATGAATAATTAAAGAAGTATAAATAGTGGCAGAGCGAAGTGTAAAGAAACAGTTGGAAAAGTAAAAAAATTGTAACAAAAGTACGACGATACTATACGTAGACTTTTGTGGCGCAGTTTCCCATAAACGAGACGATAAAATAAAAAAATTTTTTGTTTTTTTTTTTTTTTTTTTTTTTTATTATTTTATAAATAACGTGTGAATAATGTATTTGTTATAAACTGTTTATAATGCCATATTTGTATTTAAACGATAGACTTTCGTAATCACTAAACGCGATTATTTTAAAATCTTATGGGATATATACTGTTGTAATAGTCGATTAACTAATAGTTAAGAAAATTGATAAAAATCTATAATAACTTATAATATGAAACGTGCTCTTAATTAAAAAAAAAAAAGTAATTAAAGAAAGGTTAAATCGGAGGTAATATTCATAGGTTCATAAAACTGTACATGTAAAGTTTAAGATTTTCTTTAACAAAAGAGATAAAATTATATATATATATATATATATATATATATTTTTTTTTTTTCAGTATTTCCATTAAATTTATCAAATAATAAATCGGACTTTGTAGTATTTCCACTGATTAGAAGTAGCTTAAAGTTTTGTGAATCGATAAAAAAAAATAATAACAATTCGATTAACAATTCGATTCCGTTAAATTAGACGTTACATTTCTGTTTGTTTTGTTTTGTTTTGTTTTGTTTTTGTTATTGTTTAAACGTTTAAGAACGATGAATTATTATTTTCAGATTTGATTTTACTTACCCAACATCCCATTGTTCGTTAACGAATATCTTTATGACAATATAATATGAAGAACAATGGCCTTATGTTCGATGTAATCACAGTGTTGACTCATAAAGGTAAGGACATGGAATCGTTATTACTTATTTGTAGGCTCTTTCATACGCGAAAGGTTTATTGCTGTAATTAGAGGAACGTTTTATAATTGAGGCGAAGTACGGGGAGACATCGTTTGAATCGATTAAACATTAAAATTGTAAATTCAGATTTTTGTTAATTGTCTGTGCGGCGACTATGGCTCAAATGTCAGTGCTTATAAGCTTATAAATATATAAATAAAATAAATAAAAATGATCGAATCGACTAATTATGAATTGTATAATGTCGATATTTAAAGAAAATTGCTACGGCAAAATCTATTAAACGATCTATTAAAATTTATCATTTTAATTAAAAGTCTGAAAAAGCATTTAAAAGCTCAGAACTTGTCATACGTATGTTTATCATATGTTATCTATGATTTTTGCTACATTTTAAACATTAATAATGGTAATCGAGTATTCGTGAGTTGGCCTTATTCATAGGTGACATAAGAAATGGCGTCGTGTTCGATGAAAATATCCTTGGATGTACTTTCTCATTTGTAATCTCATCAGATACTGTGCAGAGATAATCATTTTTCTCTTTCTTTCGCCAGTGATCCAAATATCGCAGAGCGTAATAAAAAGTCGCCTTCGCGTTCAACACAATCGTATTCTTATTCGTAAATGTTTGCTCGAAATAATTTAACATAATGTAATGCCACTGATTAATATTACATCGATGGCCATTAATAACACTGACACAATTTAAACTGATGGCGAATTATTTGTAAAACGTTATTTCTCCTTGTATTCGTATGTCAATTAAGATCTTTAAATTAATTTTGTAATAAATTCACGATTAGTATTTTAATAGAAAAATAGTCAATAAAGTGTCAAGAATATGTTTTACATAATATTACAAATAATATTATTATCACTCAATTACTCCATTACACTATTACTATTCAAAAAGTATTTTTTTCTTTCTTCATTTTGTTTAATACAACGCACTTGTATCGATGGACTTTTTCAATTAATTCATTTAATTAATAAATATTGTAATTGCGAACTTTTAACGCTGTTAAATGTAATAAAACATGGCTAATTAATAATATTCTTGGCATAAGAAGAATCCTTTCATATTAATATTTGAAAATGTTTGTTCTGATGTAAGTATTTCGCCTTGGCTGCTGTCGTGTTATCGGCCATAAATTCGTCCTCGTCCCTCGAAAATTGACATTCATTTGGATTTATTGACTTCTCTCGCCTTCGTGTTCTCCTGATAATGAAATAAAGGAATCTTTTTCTTTGAATATTATAAATTCGACTGACGTTCTCTCATTCTATTGATTTTCGTGCACTTGCCGATGATACTCTAAGCAAGACAGCATCTTCAACTCATCTTCAACTGAATTTGGACATTCTTGTATTGTCATCTTTATCTTTACTCGAATAAAAAAAAAAAAAAAAAAGATATCAATTGTTATTAATATTGTTATAGATGTGTGCGTGGGTATGTCGCGTGCGCTGCAAACCTGCTTTTTCTTATGATAAACAATTGATGAAATAATTGGCAATAGGAAGCGAATGTTGTAACTAAGATTTTTTTGGTTTTTTTTTTTTTTTTTTGTTTTCGAATAGAAAAGATAGCGAGTGCCAAGCGAAAGAGAGCAAAAACAAAGGGCAAGCAGAATTGAAAATGGAAAAATAATTCACCCGACATTCTATATTAGCTTATAATCATATATAATTATAATCATATAATCTATATAGCTTATAATCATATAATTCTATATTAGATTATAATCATAAAATAAAAAAAGTGTATTATTCACTGAAAATAATATATTTTTTTCAATACTAAACTCCCTCCCTCCCTCACTCGCCGCGCCCCGTGATTTCGGCAAATATCAAATAAGTAATTGGTTTGTCAGTATCGAATATATCAGTTATCAAATATATCTTACATACGATATGTGCAATTATTATATATTTTCCTTTAATATACTTTTACTACCACTAATAATACTATTAATAGAATGACTATTAATATAAAAATTGTTCTTTTGCTTTGGATTGCATAGATTAAGAAAATCGCGGTTGAAAAAATGGCCTACTTTATTGTCGCCGGGAACTTGATGTTAGTGAATAAGATTTGGATAGAACTGGAAAGCATATAAATTAAATAAATATACAAAATTTTCATAAGATCCCCACGACCACCTGAATATTGATCACCTAATCCTACGGATCTATCTATACGTATATACTCTTATTACTCGCATAAACCGTATTTATTTTATAACCATTTCCAATTAAATACTATATCGAGTCGCAATTTATTCCAAATACTAGTTTAGAACATTTTTTCTCGTCGAATTTCGTATTTCACAATTGGCTTGCGCTGTTAAAGTTGCAGCTCAACTTCTTTATATCTACATCAGAGTGCCTATGACTATGGATGGCAATGTCACGTATCAAACAAACAAGATTTTCATGACTTTGTACGGATTGGTGATACTCGTCGTTACTCGTCGCCCCCCCCCCCAAATCATATATTTCAAGAGTTTTATTAATTAAGCTTTAAAGATTCAATCAATCACAGATTCTTCGGTACTATCCAAAAAAATGTCCAAAAGCTTTATCTTTATTATACAATGCAATTGGTTGGGCGTGAGAGACACCAAAGTTCATAAGTATTATCATTATCATTATTATTATTATTATTATTATTATTATTATTATTATTATTATTATTATTATTATTATTATTATTATTATTATTATTATTAAACATGTAGCTAATTAATAAAATTAAAGTCGTATCAATTAATTATGCTAAATGATTTTATAATAATTATAACAATAAATTAACATTATGTGATATTTCATATTATTAATAGCATAATAACAAATTCTTAATGTTAATAAATGATTTTTTAATAACTTGAAAAGCGAGCACAATGTTTATTCGAATAATTAAAATCTTATCGCTGACAATACATATATATGAGTGTGATTAGCGACATCCGCTGCTTTCTTTCCTCATTTATCCTTTAATCTAAAATTTTGCATATAAACGTAATAACATACGGCTACATGTACTTACAGTTGATATTTTAATTCCATTGCAATTGTTAAGGTAGCGTAAAATAGATGTATATATTTTCATTTTAATAAAATTTAATCCTATTGAACGCAGGACAAGTATAAAGTATACTTAATTCTACAAAAGATATTTATTTATTCATAGGCAAAATCCTTATATATAAGCTCGCAATATAAGAAATAATATCCTGTAAAAAATTTTAAAAAATTTTTGCCACTTGACGAATTTGTAAAAAGTTTTTATTATATTGTATCGAAGATAATCGACGCTCGATGATTCGCCTTTCGCTTTATTCGTTAATTTATTAAATGAGCTATAGTAGACGCGACAAACTACATGGAATGATAATAAAAAGTAGGCTGTCGGTATCAATAATAATATTAATATCGATGGAATATTACCAATTGAAAGTGCAATAACTTACTCGTATCACTTACTAGCGATCATCCAGCGAAAATTATAATCGGCAGCGAGCGCTTCTCAACGAAATATTATCACGGCCGATTAAATTGACTCCCATTCTCCCCCTCCATTCAATCTATTTTATTATCTTTCATTGCCCGCAGTCCTGGGCAATTCAGGAAGTTATTATCAGAAGGTTGTAAGTGCAGCAGCTTACGCTAATAACTGCACCCAAGACCCCCCCCCCCCCCCCGGCCCCATTCCACCCAGCCACGCTCCTTCCCACCATACTTCCCCCATCCCTTCATGCCTCACCACTGCCACGGTGCTTTATTTCTGGTTTATCGGGCGCGTCTTATCTGCTCTTTTGCTTCGAAAGCTTGAAATTAACGTCGGAAGCGGAGCGCAACCAGACAAACGCCCAAGTTTTACGATCCGAGAAGACCCAACTGTCCTTCCACCCGCGAAGATCGTATCGGATAACCGACGGGCACGGCGTACACAATACGCGCATCCAAGGGAATCGCCTCCCCCCACCCCCACCCCCACCCCTCACCGTCATTCCAATTGCAGTTTCAACAATGAGTTTAATCCAGCGTTTGACGCACACACTATGCAATAATTGCAATAAATATAGAGATAAGCCTTACTTTAGCCATCTCTTCGGTAAATTGATTTGAGGTTCGTCCCGAAACGAATGGAATTCGCATTGGACATGGCTCGCAAATCGTGAAAGTCATGGACTTATATAAGGGTCAGTCCGCAAATTAGGTTTCCTTGGCTGATCTCTTTTGCTGCCCTTGTTAAGCTAGCAATCGTCGTAGTGTTCGTAGCGTGTCGACGGTGGCGGTGGCGGTGGCGGTGGCGATGGTAGTGGCAGCGGCAACGTCGGTGGCAGCGGTGTCGGCGGCGACGGCGGTAACGGCGGTAACGGCGGCGGTGAGAGAAGCGTAAGTACGGGCAAACGGCAATCGAGTGTAATGGGTCGGGAGTAGTAGGAGTGCGCGACGGTGGGTTGCACATGCGCCTTAGCAAGCGTCATCGAGAGGCGCGCATTATCAAGTAGTCGTCCTCGCCGATGCTGCAAAAGGCCTTGGGCGACAGGAGGCGGCAGAGAGGAGACGGGGCCGCGAGCGGGATGACGGCCAGTGCGGATAGGATCGTGTCTGCGCGGATGTTGCTCGTGTTGACGATGTCAGGCTGAGCAAGATGAGCGCGGCCAAACGGTTGATCAATAATGCGTCCGTCTTCAGGCTGCGGACGCGGGCAGAGGACAACGCGGAGATCTCGACGGAGGTGATCGTCGCCGCGAGGAGGACCGGCAAGCTCAGCCTCTCCTCGAGGGCTCTCACCTCAGGTGACACCAGTAGACCCAAGCTTCTTTCTCTCCCGTTTAATCCTCCCCCGCCGCCGTCCCCTTCCCACCTTCCTATCCTATCATAACGCACGCCCCCCCCCCCCCACCCCCAATCCCCCTCACCGCCATCACCATCACCCTCCCCCTCCCCCAATCGACCATTCCGCCTCCGCCCTCTTCGCTCGAGGCACGGGAGGCTAGGGTCAGCTTTATGTAATTACACTTCAAGTTCACGTGCTTTTTATAGGTGCGCTTTTTGACGAGTCGACGCGATGGGAATGGCGTTTAGCGCTCGCTCCCGGTCGCCAATGGAAGCGACAAAGGGGAATTAAGCGCGCGTAATCGTACTCGGATTACCGTAATACATTCGTACGACGTTCCACTCACCAGAAACGTCAGCTCACTCTCTCTCTCTCTCTCTCTCTCTCTCTCTCTCTCTTAAATAAGAGCGTAGAGGCTGGATGAATCGTGATCGATAATAGAGAAGCGAAGGGATTTTCGTGGATAGGGCAGTTATCAATCGCGCGGGGTTTGTCGGACTCGAGTGACAAAGAGCAGCTTCTACACCGTCTTATCGATTCGTTGTCGTTGTTATCGAGTGACGAAGGGATGACGTTTGATGAAGTTGAGGAGAAATCGGTGCGCGCGAGTACAATTGTCGGCTATGCATTTTTCATAATCTTCGAGTGATCTACATAGCTTCGTTTGTTATGCTCGTGCGTGCACTTGTCGTTACACTTTTCATGAAACTGGCCTCAGTGTCGATAATTTATTATTGACGTAGGGTTTAAGAGGTCGACTCCTGGATGTCATCATGCTGCGATATTTCATATTTAAATCTTCTTAAATCGATTCTTTAATTACGTATTTATTCGCTGACTTTCATTAGTTTCGAAGATGAAAGTGAAAGAGGCGTAGCGGGAGAGGGGACTATTTAAAAAGATTTTAATCGTTTATGCCAATGTTACAAATTTTAAATTACGAATATATCAGAAAAATATATTACTTTTACAATTAATATTGAAGTTGTTGTTTTATTTATTTTTTGTTTAATTATTGATCGTCGAAACCTAAATATTACTCTTATTCCAATATTTGGGATAAAAAAATAACTCAAAACTAATGGACTAGAACGTACAATATTTTTTTTTTATGAAAGTATGATTAGGTACACGCAAACTGTGTTTTACACATGTTGGCAATTCATTTTGACTTTTGAATTGTAGTCATAATAAAATAAAAAATCGAGAAAACAAAATCAATGAAAATCGAATAAGCTGGAAGCTTGTTATTTTATATAAAAGGAAATGTGCCAAAATTAAGTTATACGATGATAAAATATAATGAAGCGAACGAAGCTCGTCCTAAAAAGGCATTTTGTTATCCTTATTACCCGAGCAATTTAAAAATATAATCTTGCTTAATGCTAACGCTCACCTGGGAGAACAGCCGTAAGTTTCCATTAATGAAATGCGAAAGAAATCGAGATCACATTGTACATATTTGTAGAGAGGTTCAACGCTTTTTCCGATTAGTTTGTCAATCCGATCCAATCTGATTTCTGTTTTAAGCAATAATCAATTATATCATCCCATCGCTGTATATGTATGTATACACACATGAGCGGACACACGAGCACACACGAGCACGCGAACAAACACACACACACACGAGCACGCGAACAAACACACACACACGAACACACAGACATAAACAGCACTCGCGTATTTAATTTAATAATTTGTAAATGAAAATTAAGCCAGATTTATATTTACATAGATTTATATTTCCATTAAAACGTTGATATAATATTTTTGCGCGCTCTCTCTCTCTTTTTTTTTTTTTTTTTTTTGCAGTACCTGATAGAATATGGACTATAAATGAATTAACCGAGGAAGAATTAAGAAATGTACAAGTCGATATTCGTAACTCCGATAATCAAGCCAAATGGTGGGAATACGAGACATTAAAGTCATTGGATTTAAGTTCCAATAGTTTGGCCAAATTAAGCGAAGATGTCAAGTACCTGGCGGACATAATCAATTTAGACGTATGTATTTTCTAGCGCATTTTCATCTCCTATCAAATTGATAATTTTACACTGCAACGATAATATAATTACAAAAAATAATTCCAAAATTCTTTGTAAATTTATTTAAAAAAAAAAATAATAAATAAAAAAAATTATAACGATTTCTTTGTAGATACACGATAATTTGTTAGAGACGATACCCAACGAAATCGGATGTTTAGTGAAATTAAGAAAATTAAATTTATCGACCAATAAACTGCGGATTCTACCAAGTAAATTTTTTAATCTCGCGGAACTACGATGCCTAGATTTAAAAAACAATTTAATAGAGGAATTGAGCCCCGACATTGGCAACTTGGTAATGCTCGAATACTTGGTAAGTATTATCATGGTCAATAATAAATTGGTCGATTTGATTTTTCTCTCTCCAATTGTAGCGCCAATTAATCAATTCTTTCAGAATCTGTCGTCTAATAAATTGACGAGCTTGCCCACTGGATTAGGATATTTGGTTCGTTTAATCACCCTCGAATTAAATCACAATAGATTAAAGGAACTTCCACCCGATGTTATGAGTATGAGAGGTTTGTCTGAATTTTTCTTCTCCTTCTGATGCACATGATTAAATTAAAAAAAAGTTTATTCCACATCATCGCCCTCGTTTCAGACAGAGTTACGACATTTTCGTTGTATCGGTTTTAATTTCCCTTAAGTTCGCTTGGCCCCCACGTTCAAATACACAATGGCTCACTTATCCGCTCTAATTATGTATTTACATGTATAATTACATAGATCCGCGATTAATTATTAAAAAAAAAAAAAAAAAAAAAAAAAAAAAAAAAAAAAAACAACAACAATCAAGACCTTCGTCCGTTAGCGATAATAATATTTTTGCGCGCTCCTCCATATCAATCCCTTCAATATTATTAATTTCAATTAATAATAAATGTCCGTGTGCGTTCGAGTAGCTCTTAAGAAGCTGGATGTAAGCAACAATCGCTTGGAGATAATTCACCCACTCGGCGAACTGCGAAGAATCGAGAGGCTCGATTTTCATATGAACAATTTATCCAGCTTCCCGGATGTCAGCGGCTGCACTTCGTTGCAAGAAATCTACCTCTCGCACAACAGTATTACGGAAATAAATGTTAATTATTTAGAGAGCTTGGGGCAATTAAAAATCTTGAACCTAAATAATAATGAAATCGATGCTATTCCTGATGAGATTATTTTATTGATCAACGTCGAGCAGCTGGATTTATCATATAATAATATATCTGCGTGAGTATTGATTTGCTCGTGTGCACTTGCCAGCAAATTGGCCATACTTTATCCTCGTATCCATACATCCATCCATCCGTGCACCAATACATAACGCTTATCCATTATCATGAAAACTGGGAATTATAATATTTTTAGGATCCCTGGTTGCGTGGGCGTGATGCCAAATCTTCAAAATTTCATAATCGATGGGAATAATGTGAAGAACATACGTCGCGACATTGTTCAATGTGGAACGCCACGTATAATGAAACATCTTCGACAAACGATAAATCCAACGACTGCGGAAACGGCAAATTCACCTCTGCGATCGTGCTGCACCGATAATTACCCCGATAAGTTGGTTTCATTTTCTTTCTCTTTTTCTCCTCTCGCCCCCCCCCCCCCCCAACCACCTTCTTTTCTTTTCTTTTTTTCATCTTGTCACGGCATTATGATCGTTCCTCCTCTTATCGCAAATTATCACGCGTCTTTAAACGATATCGTCCAACGAGCGCCAACTTTAAACAAGCTTTAAGCTTAAATTCTTATTGCCTTTTATTGTAAAATATATCCAGTGCGATGGATTTTAATAACAAATAAATAAATAAGAGAAGAGGCAAACAAGCAATAGCTATGCTTATATATAAATTTTAATTTGATCGTTAATCGTTCATGCGATGATTTCGATATAATTTGTTCTTCTTCCCCCTCCCCCCCCCCCCCCCCTTTTCTAAATTTTATCTTTCAAATTAGTTATTATAATTAAATTATATTAAATTATATTTCAAAAAAGTAAACCCCCCCCCCCCCCCTTTTTTTTTTATATTAATTCTCATACGAATGAGCTTAAATTCTATTTAAATGCAATATAGACGTGGTGGTGATGCCGGCGACATAAAAATTTAACGTGGCTCAATTATAAGCGATTGGGCTTAGCTAGTGATAATAATTGATAATACTATTGAGGATTGGCTTGACACTGTAGGTAAAGGAAGTAAGTGAAAGGAAAGAGCGGCCGGCCAACTATCACAAATCTCGCCAACAACTTGCTCGAACTTCCACGAGCCTCGTCCCTCTCAACGGCCAAACTAGAGTCAGAGTTGAGATAGGATATTTCGACTGATACATCCAAACAATGTCTCTCCACTATGTCCATCCCATCTTCCCCTGGCCTTATCTTTATTTTTGTCTTTAATACACTGTCCCTCCCACTGCCGACGCTGGCCGGAAAATCTAGCGCGCGTCTTCCACGAAGCCGAGCCGAAGTTTATAGCGCTTTCTTAGCTAAAGATCGCGATCTCGGTCACGGCAACGGAACCTCACTCCAGTAAATAGAAAGCCCCGACTATTTATACATTCGCCTTTGGCTTCGAGTGGCCGGTAGTTGTGAGTTTATTGGAAACGAGATCAGGGAAAAATTTGGCCTTGCGAATCGATTATATGGTTATGATTGTGCAGTCATGGGAGACGGTGCAGTCATGCTAGAAAGAGAATAAATAATGCTGCGGCAGCCCTCCCAAGACCTTATATTGCGCGTTTATGGTTGCGTTGATAGGTGACAAAATATGATCTCGACAAATAAGATTTAAGACTTCGCATTATTGAATATCATTAAGTGGCTTGCTTGGCTTCGCTCAGCTCTTTAATCGTTCATCATCGTGCTCTCTTGATCAATATCTCTTTGATATTATGATAATTTAAAAGTATAGGATAATCAATATATCCTTATCGCCGATGCTAAGATTAAATAATGTCATTATAGGATATATTAACGTGTTAACTAACACCCATAAAAACGCGATAAATCAATATTATCTCTGCTGCTATCTTCGTAGCTCGTCCCTTTCTTACTCTTTCGTCATTCGTCTCGCTATTTCATTCACATTTCTTTCTGTTGTTTCATTTACAGCGAGATTATTATGCACACAAATGAATTTTCTAGATACGCTATGAGAAATGCGAAGCTGCTGAGTCTAGTTGGCCAGAATCTTGCAGAGGTATCCGAGGAAATTCTTGAAAATGCCAAAGAAGCTGAAGTGACCTGCGTAGACCTAAGTAGAAATAAATTGCAGAGACTAAGTGAAAAAATGTCGCTTGTGATAACGACAACGGACCTAAAATTATCGTACAATATGCTTGTGGATGTGCCCGAATGGATTGGTGAAAAATTGACGAGGTTGCGATATCTGGATCTGAGTAAAAATCTTTTGACATCATTACCCAACAGCATAAGCTCCTTACAATACTTAATGGAAATTAACATTTCGTTTAACAAGTACGTAGGACATGCCATCATTACGATGATAATAATAATTATAACATTGACTTACAAGGATTCACGCCAATAACCATGTGCAATAATTAATTTTAAAGATTCGAAGAACTGCCCGAGTGTGTTTGTGAGATATTAAGTTTGGAAATTTTAATCGCAAACGATAATAAAATGTCAAGTATCAATGTGTCGGCTTTAAGTAAACTCAAGCGACTTGCAAATCTTGATTTATCTAATAATAATATCGGCCATATTCCACCAGAGCTTGGCAATATTAAGAATTTAAGGTAAATATTTTGTCCGCTTAATGTTGCAGTGGTGTAATAAAAAGTAACTGTTCACTCGTCTAACGAAATAATTTGATCTATCGTATTATTTCAAGATCGTTTATTATTTATAATTTGACAAAAAAATATTTAAACGATTTACTAAATAATCGCTCATTTAATTTTGTATAAAATGCTTTTATATTTTTGTCTACATATCCGTAATGTCGTTAGGCTATTCTCATAATTGTCGTTTTAGTTATTTTAAAATACTATTTGTTCGTAATCAAGCTACTTTAATTATTTTATTACATTTACATTATATTTGCCTTTTAAAATGTATTATTATTGTTGTTGTTGTTGTTGTTGTTGTTGTTGTTGTTGTTGTCGTCGTTGTCGTCGTTGTCGTCGTCGTTGTCGTCCTTATTATTATTATCCCTTCGTTGATCGCTTTTATATTTTGTTTTTTGTTTTTTATTTTTTACAAACATTTCTTTAAACACTTTTCTTTTGTTTTTCATAGTCCCACATTGAGTATAAAACTTGCATAAGCTTTCCATGAAATCATAAAAGAACCATTGCTTTTGCATTAACTGATATTCTCAAAATATAGCCCAAGAACAGAAATGCGATAGTACAGGTAAGATATATGCATACGCTTCAATACGTTAAAAATTCATTTCAATCACATTGCAAATTAAATTAAACATTTGGCTTTATCGAGCTAATTATAAATTGTCTCAAAGCTATTTTATTCTAAACGGTAACTCACAAAATATTGAATTAATTATTGAATTAATTAATCGCTTATTCGCGTGCGTGCAATAAATTACATAATCGTGACTAATCTTTAAGCCGAAATGATTTACCATCACTTTATGTTTACAATAATCATTTACTAATTTGTCGATTATTTCATGTAATTTTAAACATTCTTTTATCAGTTTTTATCAATCATTATCATTCATCAATGCAGATATGCGAATGAAATAAATGCAATTAAAAAAGTAGCATAAACTTACAATGCAGAATGTCATATATTATTGTTTTTATTTCAATACGACAGACGCAATAAAATAATTAATGATTATATAATTTTGTTGAATGAATTTCAGAATGTTGTCATTGAATGGCAATTGTTTCAAGCAACCGAGACAAGCAACTTTGATGAAAGGAACGGAGGAAGTTTTAGCTTATCTTCGTAATCGAATTCCTACTCAATTGTAAGAAATTTATTCGATTTTGCTGCGAACGGAGATGCACTAACGTATTTATTTTAAACGCCATCATAGAATTATTGTTACAGTAAAATTCATTTATCACATATATTAATGTACAACTGCCGATGAAATGCTGCTTATTACTTTTAAAAGTTAATTGTAAAACAATGTACATTTTTCTTTTTCATTACTAAAGAATTCATTAATCACAGCTATCAAAGTGTTAAGTTTATTGTCAACAAAATTTTAATTGAAACTTGAATAATAATTAAGGATCATTCGCGTAGAGTAACGAGCGATTGTTAATGTCTTTTGAATTTGTAAATTATATGGTAGTGTAAGATTAATTAATAATAACCTTAAAGGTTTAAAATGTGTGCGTTAACGGAAGTTAAGTGACGTTATCATTGTGACAAATACTTTATAAATAATTCAAATGTTTCCAAAAAGAAGTTTATTTTAATTCCAGCCACGTGTATGTTGCGACCAAAATTGTTTGTTTAACGATTTGTGCAACGAGTGCTAAATCAAATATAATATATTTCATTCTTACAAAGAAATTGCCCGTTACCATTTCATTTGTTGCATTATTTGCGTAAGACGAATGCAGCTGATTTGAAATGATCTTCATTCGTATAAAGCGAATGTAGTTAAATGAATGGCGATCAATCGAAAAGTTGTAGATAAAATAAAAATTTTAATTTATTAATTATAAAATTATCTATGTACAAAATTAATCCCAATATTTAATTTTTCCATCCCAACCAGCAGTAGCAAGTCGCGAAGGCTCATGGGGATGCCACAGTGTAGAAATACAAACATTATCGTGAGCTTTCCATTTTTTATAAAGTTTTGTAGTTTTCCAATCCCAAACGTAGCATTTTCCATCTGCATCACCCGATACCAAATAGCTGTAAATGTAATATTTTATTTGTATTGTTTCGCGGAGAAAGATCCTATGCCATCGATTTACGCAACATTATTATTATTATTATTATTATTATTATTATTATTATTATTATTATTATTATTATGCTATGTAAAAGTATTTCTAAAAATGCCAAACACTTTATCATCGTCATACCTCATATCGGGGGAAAAGTCTAATCCACAGGCATACCCGGCAACCATATGTCCGGTAAAGGTCTTCTTCCGGTTCATTTTAAACCTATTTAGTGCTGAGAATATAACAATTTTATTATCCATACTTTGACAAGCCAACCATTTTTGATTAGGCGATGGTGTGACAGCTGGCATCGAATGCATTGTTGGATCGGCTATATATTTCATGTCGACCGGTATATCCCTGAATAACATTATATAAAGCCATTAAAGCATAGATCGACAAACCAAGCCAATTACGTTAAGAGAAATGAAAAATATTATACCATTCCCAAACTCGTAAGCTTTTATCGTCAGATGTTGTTACAAATCTACGATTCTCATCGACAAATGTAATGGTGTTAACAGCTCCTAAGTGCCTGTCGTACTCTTGAATTATTTCTCCGGACCTAATGTCCCACTAAAAAATTCGACATAAAAATATCGTTTAGTTGTCTTATTCGCTTGGAAATTTCACATTGCATTTACAAATAGTCTTACGCATATAATTTTCTTGTCACTCGTTCCTGCTACAAAGAGATGCTGCTTGTTTAAATCGGGATTAAATTTTGCACAATATGGTACTTTTCTACTTGTAAATCGGCTTATACAAGCACCAGTTTCGGTGTCCCATAACTTTACATAACGATCGTATCCAGCAGACAAAAATCTTTTACCATCGTTATCAAAGCTTATGTCTCTTACAGCTTGTCTATGACCGTAATACGTTCTAACGCATCTTCTATCTTTGTACACTTCCCACAGCTGCATTACATAAACATTTACATAATGATTACAATAATTCCTTATTTTTCTAAAGCTTTAAACATTTTGTTAATGGAAATAATGGAATTAATAGAAAATAAATTTTAACTTATACAAACTAACGCAAACTATAACGTGCATTAGAATTATTATGTACAAACAAATATATAGGCATCGATATAAATATAATTACCTTGACTCTGCAATCCATACTACAAGATAATAATAAATGTGCTGTAAGGGGAAACCATCTAATTTGTGAAATTCCTTTAGTATGTCCCTCCCATGTATGAATTTGAGCTTTGGGAAGGAAACATCTCTCCGGTGGAGATTCTGACCTCAAATTAACTCCAACATCTTGCGGAGCATGAAGGAAAGATCTTCCTTGGTAATCAACGCTGTCTTTAACTGAAAAATCGAAAAATCTTATTAAATATCTTTTAAATTAATCCGGTCATCATTTCAATCCAGCGCCTAAAATAACTTACTGTGCAAAACAGTTTTTTCCTCCAGAGGCTTCTCATCTACTTGCTTTCCTCTCTTATTTCTCTTAGCTAAAATTTCTTCGAGCTCAGCAGCTTCGTCTTCGCTAGGTTTAACGATACGTTGTTCACCCACATAACCACCCCAAGGACCCAAAAATCCAGTTATATCGGTAGGATCGTTATTTCTGTTTCTCTTTCTCTTATCCGATGGTCTTATAGTTCTGTTTTCAAAAACCGTCTTTCCACCAGTTCCTTCGGCAGCCTCGACTGCTCCTATTAATATTTTTCCTTCTTCCGCGCTTCCGTCGACAGTTGGATCCAAGGCATAACCTTTATTTATAAATATTAATTGTATGTTTAAATAAAATGTTATTAAACATCGGGAAAGGAATATTTTTCTCTTTTTTTACTTAATCCTTCCTTAAATGGATACTTTACCGTAACTTGCAAACGTCCTTCTCTGATTTTCAAATTGAAATTCACTAATATGGGCCTTCTCAACGTATCCCGCCAAAGTATTTTTTTCAGCTTTCTGTTGTTGAGTTTTAAAAGGATTTTCTGGACCTACTTCGGGTGCAAAAAGTTCATGAAACTTTGGGTTAAATACCAATTCTTTCGTCGTTGAATCTATATGCTGCACGCATAATTCTGTACCCTATTTCAACATAAAATTTGGCTAATAAAAGCTATGTTATTGTAATAAATTACTTTTCAATATCATGGAAAGCCGCTACAATGCAATAACTTACGGTTGCCACTACTTCTGGTGCGGAACAAATTTTTAATACTAAACTGGACGAGTCTTTCATGGAGGTAGGAATAGAACAATCCGCGAAAGTGCTATTATTTTGTATTGTTTTTTTATTGTTGATGTCAGGTGCTGTTTTTTCAACCCTTCCATCATCGTCACTGTTGTGTTCATCACTACTGCCGTAACCTCGCAATGCATCCATTTCTCAATTTACTTAATAAAGGATCAATTGTACATAATTCCCAACACTTCTCAGTAAATAAATATATTTATTCGAGCAAAACAACCGCTTTTCATATTTATTAAACGTTAAACTTTAAATATAATTCATTTTATAATATAGATATATGTATATGTACAAGCGAATATCATAGATCCCGCAACAAAATAAATTAATCTAACCAAACTTTACACCAGTACGGTCGATAACATTGACATTGCATTCGGTAATCTGCGTTATCGACCGAAAAATTACGTACTTATTGCATATAAAGATGACAGTCAGTCAACACATCAGTGCAAATCATCGAGTAACACACACACATCGCTGAAGGGGGAAAAGAAATTTTTTTTTTTCTCGCTCTTGTAATAAAATAATTGGTAACAAAGGACAAATTTTATTATTAATACGTATCCATAAAAACACAAAGTATTGTATGAAAAAATAAAAAAAAAAAAAAGAAAAAAAAAAGAAAAAAAAATAGTAACATATCTTCTTTCAAAATGACTAGTCTTACTAGGGCAATTATCCTTTTGCTTTTAATTTATTATTGCGATGGAAAAGGCAAATATTCCCAAGAGGCAAATAAGCCTAAAGTTAAAACAGAATTTTCGCAATCTAAGAATTTGAAGGCACTAAGAGAGCTTGATAAGCCATTTCGAATGCATAAAATAAATTTAGTATGGATTAAAGCAAAACATGTGAGTATCCTGTATAAATATTTCATATCTATGATGAATTAACAGAGATTTATCGTATGGCTACTTATTGTACGATTATTTTGTAGAGATTAACAGATCCCAAGTTACAATCCCTATTCAGCGATTTGAAGATTCAAGATAAAGAAGAAATAGCATTTAAACATATAAAATCAGATGGAAAAGATGAGAGTGGATTGGAAGAAGCTAGATTGCGCAAAAAACTTATTGGTAATAAAAATGAGTAAAGATATTCAGATAGATTTCAATATTTTTATTTCATTAGGAATTATGAGCACCTATGGCTTGCTCGAGCACTTTGAAGAAGTTACGGATCCTGAACTTTTGAAAAAACATAAACAATTTAAAGATAGTTCAAATTACATTGCCAAAGACGTTTTTAAAGATAAAAGATTGAATAAGCTGTGGGCTAAGGCAGAAAGAGGTGGCTTTAGTCGTAAGTATATATTTAAATTTTCATAGTTTATTTAAATTTAATATATACATATGATACAGGCATAATATATTTGTGATTTAGACGAAGAATTGGAGGCTTTAAAGGAGGAATTCAGTCATCATCAGGACAAAATAGACGAGTACATGAGTTTATTGTCGGAAATTGAAGCAGGAGATCCCGATAAACATAAAAGTAAGCTTATTTTTACAATCAATATATATTTAAGTTTTTTTGTTTGAACATGTATATGGATAATAATATGTAATGTAATAGATAGTCTGCACGATAAACCGGAAAGCTTAAATGTTGTATTAAACGAAGAGGAAATGAGCAATGATGTACCTGGACAAAAGAAAGACTATTTAGCTAAAGCAAATCTACTTAAGTATAAATAAATGATATATCGACATGCTAATTTCTTATCTGACAATACAAACACACGAATATTAATTAATAATGCATTTCATTAGGGAAAAGCATTTGGAAGTTAGAAGTGGATACGATCATTTAGAAGGAATAACAGCTAAGGGACCGAATCACAAAGAATTTGTCGATCCTAAGGTACAAGGACTCTGGAGAATGGCGGTTGAAGCCAAATTTTCAAATACAGAATTAGCATCGCTAAAGGCAAGAATATTAAATAAGTTGAATCAAATTGCAATAAATAAACATTGATATTTCTTGTAAAATAACTATTGCTCGTAGGAAGAACTTTTGCATTATGAAACAAGGCTTCTGAAACTCAGGCATCTTCATACCGAGGCAGCATTAGAAGCAGCTAGAAAAGGAAAAGATTATAAACCAAATAAAACGAGCGATACTCACATATCGCAACATACTAGAAACGTTGAAAAATTACATAGAGATATCGAAGCAAAAATTATGCAAAAACACGTAGAACTATAAAACATTATATTCGAATAATATTTTGTATAAAATTAAAAAATTCTTTAATGACTTGTTTTATATATTTATAAAATAATGTATGTAAATTATAACAATAAAAATGTTTACAAGAATTTTATTAATATTTAAATGTACATTGTAACGTTCGAGTTATAGAGAAGATTTTTATGTATGAAGTATATGTATTAGTTTAGCATTGGTGTAAGCATTGAGTAGAGCGATGATTCTTTATAGATTTTTAAATATTATCCAATTGGACATATTTTTTTTCTCAAACTCTATACACAACTATATCATTACTTTTTACATATCATTGATATCCGCGTGCTCAGCAATGTATTATTTATTTTACTTCATGTATGATGCGCCTTTATCAAGAAAATAGAAATGTTTAATTGAAATTTGAAGTGAAAATTTAATTTTCAGAGTTAAACATTACTACGTACTTAATACCAAAAGCGACCATTGTTTCACATTCTGTTCTTATCTCGTCATAAAATTGACGCGTGGATACTACGATTTATGCAAATATTACGTTATTTTTAGTGCTCTATAAATGTTCATTCATAGTAAACTAAAGGATTTACAATTAGTTAAGAAAATAATTTAACACGCGAACAGCTTTTAGGATATTAAAAAAATTAATGTATAAGAGGCTATTTTAACTTTGTTTAGCTTTATTATTTTTTATGAAAACGTTATTCCGAATGTCTAGCTGCATTATAAATTCTATAAATTATTATTATTATTATAGTATAGTTGTCTATGCATTCAATTGGGGGAAATAAGGGCGAAAATAGAATTGAAATTTTATATCGTATCGAATGAATTGTCAAAAAAAAAAAAAAAAAAAAAAATGTCGCGTCACTATTCAATGTAAATGAAAGTCTGTTAAATTAAATTATATTAAAAGGAGTCGATCGATTGAAAATTCCAAATTCTTCGATATAAAATATAAGGGAAATCGATTAAGTGTTCTTGATTGTTATTACAAAGTGTCATTAATCGCATTCCTCGTGCGAAATTTTACGTGCTCAGATTATCAATAATAAGCAATGGATATAATAAGAGGGAGAAGTACGTTAATTTCACCATTTTTATTAGTAAATGTAGGATTCGTAAATTACATCAATATTACCCTGGTAACGCAATTTGTTTCAATCAATCAAAAATTTAATGATAGTGTTGTTACTGTAGCCGTTTAAACAGCCAATCTCGTTCGTTGGCTCAGCGTTGGCTTTATATATTAATAATCATTAATAATCATCGATCATCGATTTTACAAAGAGTTGATATAAAAATAGATATAAAGCATCAAACATGTCGGAAATAATGATTCCTACGACTGATACTTTAGTGAAATATGACAATCCAGTGTTAATTACCAATCGCCCGACAAAGGTATATTTATCACTACGTTTCATCTTGGAAAGAGAGAGCACCATCCCCATCCTCCCCCACGCCCCCACTCCTTACTCCTAACATCCTTACTCCACCAATTCTCAGACAAATAAATGCAGAATTTCATATCGCATCACTAGGTAAAAGAAGTAACTAGTAAAGTCAGTAGTTCGGCGTGTAAAGTACAAAGTATTCCGGCTTTCGATAGTCGAAAGGAATCGATCGAATTACTGAATGGAATCCTACCTCCGAAGGAATGGGAGAAAAACGGACAGATCTGGAGACAGCAGGTACAATTTTATCGATCTATCGCGTCGATTTAAACGAATCCCATTACCTCCAGCAATTTTCATTCGTGCTCCCAACCCCTTATTATTATTATTATTATTATTTTTTTATCTGTTTTTTATTTTTAGATATCAAGCACACCGGCCACCCGATTGGACGTCATTAACTTACAGGAGCAACTGGATATGAAGCTGCAGCAGCGACAAGCCAGAGAAACTGGCATTTGTCCTGTACGACGTGAGCTTTATACTCAATGCTTTGGTAAGCAATTGATTCGCAAAGTTAACGCCAAAGCTTCGATAATAACGGATAGGAATGGTCTTTACAAACTTAATTCGTCAATTAATAATGGCCTTCTTACTTGTTACCAATGCCTAGATGAAATTATACGTCACGTTTCGATCAATTGCGCCGAACGTGGCTTACTATTACTTCGAGTACGAGATGAAATTCAAATGACACTGGCGGCTTATCAAACGCTCTATCAAAGTAGCACGGCTTTTGGTATGCGCAAGGCCTTACAAGTCCGTATTACCATCATTATTAATAATATCTATTATAGAATAAGCTTATCCGCTACTCTAAGCGACTGTACTTTTGGAGGGGGAGACGAGCGCGCGATGGTAAGCGAGAATTTTGAGGATTAAAGCAACCGTAATAGATGAAGAATTTGGTTCTAACACCACCCCCCACCCCCCTCACCCCCCAAAAAAAAAAAAAAACCCTCACCTCAAATCGAGCCAACGACAGCTGTCGTTTAGCTCTTCATAGGGGATTCGGGTCGGCTCTCTTAAAAACAATTTTAATTAAACAGTCGCGATAAATGCTGATTTCGTTTACTATGCGATTCCTCTAAAAGTACCAGCTTCGATATGCATATTTTTTCTTCTTCTTTCATTGTTGTTGTTGTTGTTGTTGTTGTTGTTGTTGTTTTCGATTTAGGCTGAGCAAGGAAAAGAGGATTTGATAGCCTCCGCCGAAGATCTTCGTAAGCAGAAAAATGAATTGGAAAGGATGTTGATTGAATTGAAGCAAAAGTTCGAGCAAACTATACAGAGGAATACCGAGCTACAAGAGGCCGAGCAAAAAAAATATATGGAGGAGATTCAATTTTTAAAAAAGACAAATCAACAATTGAAGGTATGACTTATTAATTATTGATAAATTCCGATTGATCTCTTCTTTTCATACACGGATGCTGCATTAATTATTATTTCCTTTTAGATTCAATTGGAAGGTATCATCGCGCCCAAAAAATAATGTCAATTATGAAAGCAGCTAGTAGCAATTAGCAAATAGCAGCATAAGTGGCAATTTTCTTTATTCTCCACGTTCGAGTGTCGTAATGGGAGACCTAAGATAATTGAAACAATAAGCGAAAGAAGGCGATTTTTCTTTCTTTTTTCTCTCTCTCTCTCTCTCTCTCTCTCTCTCTCTCTCTCTCTCGAGATTTTTCGAGTTCAAATAAATAAGTGTTGAATGTAATAATAAGGCTTTTCTCTTTTAAAATAAATGTATGTTTATCTGCATAAGTTTTCCTTACAAATACAAATGTGTAGGATTACAAAAGGTATAAATATTGCTTAGTAAAGAATAAAACTATTTGTAATAAATATATGCTTTTCTATCTAAAAAATTAAACACTTTTAATTCAACAACAAATTCTTACATCGCCGCTTGTGTATCAGTCGCACGTCAAAACTGTCATGTTGATCAAATTGCTAATAAATCGTTGAAATTTATCCATCATCATTATCATCGTCATCGTCATCATCATCATTATCATCATCATTATTATTATGTTTTTTTTTCTCTTTTTTCTTTCATCTTTTCCTTCTTTTTTTCTTCCACGAAGCATTGTATTTATAATTATTACAGAACAAGAATTTCCTTACTAAGCGAGTGACAAAATTGCGCATTATACATTGACATTAGAAAGTAAATTGTTGAAAAATAAAATTCGCCTCGATAAAATAATTCTTTAAATTCGATTTTCTTTTAAATTCAGTCAATAAGTTGGGTAATTGGGTATTTGCATGTTTTTTAAAAATATTTTACTTATTATTTTTTCATTCGTTTCTCTTCTAAACTTTTTGTCAAGATTTCTTCATTTTTATATGGCTAAAAATTTTCGTGTATTTCAATATCCCGGTAAAAGTCAATTAACCCCCACTCTTCAAAACAATTAAAAAATTAAATATTTTTCTTCTAGATGCAATATCCCAATTAACGTTAACCCAATGTGTATTTATGTGTTTATTAAATTTTCTTTCTGTTTTCTTCATCAATATCATCATCATCATCATCATCATCATCATCATCATCATCATCTTCTTCTTCTTCTTCTTCTTCTTTTTCTTTATAACTTATAACGGCGACACCTTTTTTCTCAATATTTTATTGGACAGACATTTCTGCAGAAAACCATCACACTTATCCATTCTGCATTTAGCTTTTTCCATGAGTATGCATAAAATAATACTTAATGAGTCCTAACGAATGTGCATTGATGTCCGACGTTTCTATGACATTAACGTTTTCTTCATAGTAAAGATAAAATAATTAAGAATTAATTTAAATTATTCATTGATTAAAAAGAGAAGTACAAAGAAATTGTCTTCGTATTATCAACAGGAATGAAGCTTAGAATTTCACGTGCATGCACACACACACACACAAACGCGCGCGCCAATATGTATGCGCGCATGCATGCATTTATATATATATATATATTTTTTTTTTTTATATGCATATTTAATTAACGTGCGCGCGCGCGTATTTTTTGTTTGTTGAGATATTGGTCCCACATTGTATAATAGGATTACTATTTTATTTTTTAATCGTTCAGCTATGAATATTATTTGCACGTTAATGTCATTAGCTAACACAAAAGAGTGTATTAAAAACAAAATAAACAAAACTAAAACAAAAAAAAAAAAATAAAATAAACGAACTCAGAGTGATGATTTCCTAACGATTACGATAGAATAAATAAAATACTCTAAAAACGTGTGGCAATATGCGCGTAAAAAATTTATAATTTTATTAAAAACTTTGTATATACGCTACTACTCAGCTGTAAAACATAATTTACACCATTTTCCTCTCTCAGTCAATTGTAGGAAATAAAAACAAATTGGTTCGCGAATTATCAAAAGCATTAAAATATGATTGCGTTAATAGCCCGGGGATAGTGAAACGTTTTTACGGGGGAATTTATAAGGAGGCCCGCTCGATCTAAGCAAACCTTTTATCGATCTCGTAGAACAAAATTGCTAAACGAAATAATGGTGATTCGCCGGTCGTTACATTAGCTGGGCTTTCCCCTAATCTTCGCAAAATTCATTTCCCGGCCGATGGTTTTGACACTTTTTACCGCCCCAGATCCGCGACTTTAACACAATAATGCCGTCCCTTACAACACGTGTAATATAACACTGAAATTCCTCGACTACCTAACTAATGACTTTGCAAATAAGTAGTACCGAAATTCCTTACGATTAATGATAAAAATATTTTGGCATCACTGCCGTAATTTTTCCTATAAAAAAAAAAAAAAAAAAAAAAAAAAAAAAAAAAAAAAAAAAAAATCTTGAGAACAACGAGAAACATGTATGAATAAAAAGATAATAACGCGAGGTTATAAAAATAACATTCGTAAGATGAGCTTGTAGTAGAAAAGGTCGAAGCTTTCCGAAGAATCGAACTCTCTCTCTCTCTCACTCTCACTCTCTCACTCTCACTCTCATCCTAATCACGCAAGCTAACAGTAGCAAAATAACTTTACATTCGCACATAATTCTCTTCTCTTTCTCGCCATTATCTCGCATTAACATTGTTACTAGCTCTTTCTTATTGAGGCAAAAACAAAAAAAGGCAAACATGGCTGCACGTGCTCGAGTAACTTAAAAAAAAATTTTTTTTTAATGAAAATAAAAAGTCGAGACATGATATAAGCCGAGCAAATAAATAATTGTCGTACATGAATAAAATGCCTGAGGTGGGCGCGACACCGAGGACAATAGGAATGTTTATATCCAATTCGCACTTATCGCACTTATGCACGTATACGTAAAAAAAGATCGGATTTAAAATACTTTTCATTTGAAATTGATAATCAATATTCATCGTCCCAAAATGATTTTTTTTTATTACCTATTTATTATTATGTTATTGCCCCTCCCGTTTTTTATTTTTCATGATTATATACGCGTTAAGATCGTGAGTACATAATGATAGGATAGACAGTGCGCACCCATGATAAGACGAGGACAAGGGATGAGGGAGGGACACGGGGACTGGTTTACATTCAAGAACGAGAAGTAAATTATATATAAGAAAGAGAGAGAAAGAGAGAGAGAGAGAGAGAGAGACAGAGCGAGAAAACACACTAAGTAAAATGAAAGTAAAATGGTGAGCGAATCACGCACACGCTTTTCCGCAAGGTAGATAGTATAGGTCATTTAACTTTTAATAATCAATCGCATTATTCTCGATCTCGCGCGTATACACATCTACAATATCTTTATTTAAATATAGTATATGCATATATGTGTATATATA